CCTTGCCCATGAGGGTGTATCTGTGGAAGAAGGTGTTCTATTAGAATTGATATTAGTAGAAGGAAGGCCCTTGGGTTTCTCATATGAAAGGATATGATGGGCTTAAGAGGCTTTCTGTGAATAGATTAAATAATGATTTAACTTTAAAAAAAAAAATCAAATTGTAAAACTTGTATGAAAGTCAAAATGTACAACAATCTATAGTAATAATTTAGATAGATTAGAGAGGTGATACACTGGTACATTCCATTCAGATTTAATGAATTGAAAAGAATGAAGTAAAAAAAAAAATTAAGCCTGAAAGTGGAGGGAGGGAGGATGGAACATCTGTAATTTTGGAGAGTAATTCAAGCTTTTCAAATACTCAGATGCAGTTAGTAGTCTGGAATGTGCTTCAGACAGATGATACAGATTATTTAGTATAGATTTACCTCTCTTCACTCAGGGTAGTCTTTCAACGCTATTGTTTGCGGCCTTGTTCCCACAAATGTACTCAGGTACTTCATGCCTCACTTTAGATCATGCAATACGGCTACTGTCATGCCATTAGGTGTTGCTGTGGTGGGCTGCAACACCGTCCTTCATTCTCATGGCCATTTTTGAGCTGAAAAAACCCAACCGAAAACTGACTTAAGGATGCCATGTGGAGCCCCAGAAAGGTCTGAACCAAACATTTTTTAGTAGCCATATGGTTAATCCTCTTCTAAGGACAGTAGCTGTAAGCAAAGTGGACATGAGCTTGTCAGCTAGAGGTTATGATTCTTTCTGTGTTGTAATCCACAGTGCCTATGTAAACTCTTTGTAGATAAAGGGGCAATTGAGGAACTTGCTTATACGCTCTCCATTAATTAGGTTAAACAACAGGGCAATGAACAGCTTCCTTTTCTTCAACAATAAAAAGTGCCTTAAGAACATTTTTTTTATTTGCTAAATAGTTTTTATCTACATACTGATAATACTTTAGACAAACAGTTTTATAATCCTAATTTTACAACTTAATGTAAATTTAAGCTAAAAGGAAAAATAATTATAAACAGCCAAAATGTGTTTTCCTACTATAATTTATACATTTATGAGAGCATACTTCAACAACAGCTGAACTATGTTATTCTGATTCACAGAAAGAAATACAAAATCTGATGTGAATATATTTTATATTGAAAGTCAACAGGAGATCTACTTCTTAAATTAACTTAGGACAGTAGTAGAACCTTTGTTGAAACACTTTGTGATGGTTTTCGAATCTGAGTTCTTGTCTGCAAACAGCATTACTTAATTGGATATTAACTTTTCTTTGACTTTTATTGACTATCGTGTTCTCATCATAGACCAATAATAACCTAGGATAACTTACCTAAAATATGCTTTCACCAACATGGTTTTGAGTACTTCAGCAGTTACTCATGATGTAATGGGAGCAAGGCAGAGCCTGGAATCTCTTTCTGACAGCCCCGCATGACACAGACAGTTTGGTGGTCCTCAAGTGATCAGATTACAGTAATTTGGCCACTGGGAAAAATACAGTGACAGCTGAGGAAATATTTGCTGAAGAGCCAGTAGCAATTGGAGAAGCAGTGGAGATATTGATAGGTTTGATCATGTTTATATTAGAGGAAAAGAAGAAGAAGTTATGCAGCAGAAGAATGGAAACAGTACTACACCATGGTTTGGTTGGCCAGTCTTGGGTTAGATATCCAGGAACTTGACTCTTGATCTGAATAGAGCTCTTGGTTTGCAGACTTACTAAACCATACTTATTCTGTGAGCTTTAGCAGGTTACAGTGTCCTTCTTCTGTGTGGTTTTTAATTTTACCTGTAACATCTCCTAGGGAATACGCTCAGTCGCTAAAGATGGGTAATAAGAAGAGGATTTTATTGCTTGGATCTGGCTATGTTTCTGGCCCTGTGCTTGAATATCTCACTAGAGATTCCAACATTGACATCACAGTTGGTATGTAAGATTTCACTTGTCTTCCATTGAAAAATTGTGTCTTATTTAAACCTGCTAGCATGACAGAACCTTTCTCATAAGTAATAAATTGATCTGTCTCTCAGAACAGATAAAGAAAATCTTTATGCACAGCAGAAGAGCATTTTGGAGCTTTCTGAACATTTTAAGTTTGTATAATTTATTTGAAAATGGCATAGACACATGCAAAGTTTATTGTTTGCATGTGTAACCTACAGGGAAATTAGAAATATTTTTCCTTCTAACCTGCTTTTTGGGCTTGGGGTTTGTTTTGTAGCTAGTTAGTCACTTTTGTTAGTGGTTGGCTGTGTTTTCAGCCTCACACAACAAGAAGATGAAATCGTTTTTGTAGACATCTGTTTGAGTGGAGCCTCTGCTATTGTAACCAGTACTGTGGTGGTATGCCTTCAGATCCTGACCTTCCTATCAGCCCCACATGCCTGCTTGTTTATTCTTCTGTTTTGGTTTTATTCGTAGCATATTTCACGCTGGGCATCTCAAAAACACCTTTCTAAATGTTGACTTTATCCTGAATCTGTGATTTTGGACTTAAAACCCAGGCTGCATTGCCTGAATAATATTTTGCTGGGAGGTGGTTTCCTTTATAACTTAGCATTGTATTTATGTTGATTTTTGTTGTTGCTTTAGTTTGTTTTTTTCCCCCTCATGCTACTTTCATACTCGGCTGTTTTTGCTACCCTTTGGGTGATAACCATTATACTTTTAAGCACTGGAAAAAGGTTTACTAGGAAGAAGAGGGGAACTCTTAAGGAAGCTGTACTATTGTTATTAGCACTGCCTGATGTGGTGAACAGGGCAGGATTACAGCAATGTACAGTTTCCATCCCCTCATCCGTACAGAAGCTGCATCTAGTCCCTGCAATACAGTAACCGTAAGGGAAACCAGGTGAACTGGGAGATTTTTTTTGCCCAGCACTATGCAAACACAGCAGGTGCCTCTTATTTGGGTAGCTTAAAAACATGCAGTTTCTACAGCATGCACAAAAAAAAGCTCAGAAGGAAGAAGTTGCTTGTTTAATATTTGACAGCAGGCAGGTAGATGAAGAAAGCATGAAAAGCACATCACAGTGCCACATTTGGTTCCCTACTGTTAGGCTACACCACTTTAAACCTTCATGTAATCAACTTTTTTTTTTGTTTGAATTTGTAGATGAATTTGTAGATGGCTTTGCCTAGCTCTTTTCTCTCAGCACAAGTTGATCACTAGGGTACACAGAATCACCCTGTGGCAATGTTTATTTCCCATTGACTTTGGAAAGGCCATAAGGAAATAAGGCCCTAAGTTAGAGGTACAGATGCTTTTAAATCTCCGTAAGCCTGTGCCCTACCTGCTGCCTTCATTGCCCATTCCTTTCTCCTGGCTGTGTTCCCATTGCTGTCCTTGTGCTGGCAGCAAGGTGACCCAGGACAGGATTCAGCCAGATGTGGCAAATACTGGTTGCTTTAGCCTGGATCTCTCAGTTCTGCTTTTCTTATAATGAGAAATGCCGATGGTGGTAGGAGCAAGATCATAGGAAGGAACAAGTGGAGGCAGGCAGAGACTGGGTTTCTCCCTTTTAGTGATAACATTAGCTTATGCAGGATTGGTAGGACTATGCCATAGGTAAATATTGAAACTAGTCAGATTGAATCTGGGCCTTTTAGTCATACTTGGCGTAAGCAAAACTTAATGTTATCTTTGTTATGTTAAAAATGGTGAATGATGTGAATTGTTTTTGTTTTAAGCTATTAAGCTGTTCTTGGCTATAAACACGAATTCTGTTAAAATGTACTGAAACAGAGTTTTGGAAGATTTATTTTTTAAACAGATTTATCTATAAGTGTATGGCTATGTGGAATAAGGGGTGGGGAAAGCTTTTCTGGGCATGTGTTTGTTTACTAAATCTGTTAGCTGTGTTGAACCTGCATGTTCATCAAGACCTTAAAACTAGTTAAGGTTTTTCTGTCTCACTTAAATCAAACAGCCTTAAAAAATAAAACAAATTTTCCTCTTTGGACTTTTTCCCCTCCTGGACTTCTAGTCAGCTTCTTGCTTTTCAGTGAAATAGTCTTGACATTTGCAGAAATAGCTACTACCATAAAAACCTGATTGAATACTTTAGCTCTGCATTTATTTGGCCAGGTTAGAGAAGTAACCGTTTTTAAAACCAGAAGAAATTGTGTAGTGGATAGTGACCTAAAATACTTTAGGCCTCAAGATGAATTGTCACACTAATTGAAAGTGGTTGATTTTCCACAGGTTGATGCTAATCCAAAACCAGTTTACTTTTGAAACACATTGGGCATGCAATTTTTCCATTGCAATCTTCCCTCAAGAGTCAGTGCAACACAATATTTCATTAAATTGGGAAACACCAGGCATGCCTTTTCTGTATTTCTATGTGAAAGTCAAAGCAAGAACAGAACTTCTGCCTATTTCAATGCTATTTGATTATTCTGTTTCATATGAGGTTGTAAGCCTGCAAGGAAAGGCACTTTCTGGGGTAGGCAATTATTGTTTATTTTTTCCCCTACCTTTCTAGTTGTACACTGCTTCCAGCAAATTGATGAGCTCATGAATGCCAATGGTATTTAATACATATAGGACCATGATGTGAGTGTCTGTTGTTCTAGTTTTCTCCTACACCTTGTTCTGCCAAACAGACTACTGGATGACTCATTTAAGTAAGCAAGAGTAGACTCAAGGTATAATGTCACTCCAAATCAAAGCATGAAGATCAAGTCTATTGTGTGATTGTCCACCAAATAAATAAGGAAAAGAAAAATTGCTGCTTGGTTTCATAGTGTTGTATGTGGGATGTCATTGGGTTTCTACTTGTTACTCCTACTTTAGTTCTCTTTCTCTCCTTTTAAAAGTTTTTCATTTGTCTGATCCTCTTGACTCCCTACCCCTAACAGTTTTCCATTAATACTCTGTCTCCAGAAAAAAACAAAACAAAACTGGTCTACCTGAATGGGCTAGTGGTACTTTTGACTGGGCATAGCAGAGCTGTTGTTATATTTTTCTGCTGGTCATCTTTATTTTAGTTTTCCCAGACCTTACTTGGTAGGATTATTGTTTTAGTTCAGATGAGCCACCTTCTCCTATATTTACAGAAGTGTTTACTACAGCTCTTGCCGCTTTCTTCCGATCTTTCTTTAAAATTTTTCTCAAGCCTGAACAAACATATCCAAGCACTCCTCTTGTGTGACTGTTATTTGCATTCTTCACCCTCAAGCACTTTCTTTGGTTGATCTCCTTCTAGATCCAAGATAACAATACATTTCTAAAAATTCCAAAAGAATCTGCTTTTATCCTTTCATCAGTGGTTTGGTCACTTGTTCTCTGAAAACTTTGTAATGTCTTTTTCAGTATGTTTTGACACTTACCAAAGAGTGGCAGGTGTTCATCTGAGATGTCAAAGACTGAACCTCCAGTATGTATGTTTTTTAAAACCTAGAATGTATCTTGCCACAAGTTTTTATGAGGGATCAGAGTTAAAGACATGGGAGTATGCTTTTGGGGTGGATCACAACCCTGTTGGGTTTTTGTAACTAGTTAATGACACTTTTGTGACACATTTCTGCATAAGAGTTGCGTTTAATCAGCAGACTTTTTCACCTCCCTCTAAAAAACACGTGGGTGTGAGTGTGTGCTTCTTTTTGGTTAGTTTATCTGTTTTCCCACCATGAGGATGCTCAGTTACCTGGCAAATATAGACAGTGCTGCTGTAGAAAGCCATGCCAGGAGGACAGGTGCACATGATGCAAGCGAGCCGGTGGGTTCTGGGGTGTCCTGCTGCACAAAGATAGGTTTAACAGTCCTTTATTTCATGTTCGAGACCAACTTCTTCATAGAGTGGAAAAGAAGGGAGGTGACTTCTAGTTTTGCATAAATAATTTGCATTGACCTAGTGTGCTGATAAGAAAACTGCAGTTAAAACTTTTGTTAACTTTAAGTACACCCACAAAGCTGCTAATTGGATGCAAGTCTGTTCTTGTTACACAATTTAGCAGTGAGTGGTTCTTTACTTCTGAGAGTGAGTATTTGTAGATTCTTGTTCTTTAGTGACAGCTGCTATGGCTTGACACTGGTGATTGATAATAAAATTGACTGCTTTAGGGGAAGTAAGGTGCTTTATGCCTGATTTCTCTTCAACTGTCAGTGAAAGAAAACCACGCAACTGTTTTGGGAAGAAGATGTGTGGAGAGCACAATTATACATGGGAGTGTTTTGGACTTAATCTTCATCTTTAGGTAACAGTTGTGTTTTACTTTTAAAACAGCATCTGTGATGAAAGAACAACTTGAACAACTGACGAAAAAATACAGCAACATTACTTCCGTTCATATGGATGTAATCAAGCATGAGGAAAAGCTGTCTTCTTTGGTGAAGAGACATGACCTTGTGATCAGGTCAGAATTCTGTGTCAAACATGATAGGCTCGGCCCTGAGTTATACTGCTTCTTTCTCCTACTTCACTGACCTAAATCAACATGGTAACTTTTTTTTAAATGCCCAAGAACTGGAGTTATATTTGTGTGTGTAAATAGCTGTAATTGGACACTGCCTTTACACATAGTGGGGTATCAGGACTTTCAAAGGGGCTTTGACTGCAGCATGTCTAGAGGTGTTCACCAGTTACACAGACAGCCTTCTTAGTGTGAAGGGCCGTTTGTATCTACCAGCATATGTATTCCTGGGATCAAATTTGCATGTTTGCAAGAGGAGGCAAAATTTTGACACCTTGATAATTTCTCTTGAATATCCCATTAAGAAAGATCTCTTTCCAGGTTTTGAAACAGGGGAGGAAATTACTTCATAGTCCTTGCCATTTTGTCCTTTTTGCCACGAATGTCATGAGTGTTGTTTCCTTTCCATGTAGACCATGCTTTTCACAAAGTACTTCAGCAAGACCATTGTATTGCAAGCTTTCTCAAGGATGGTTTTACAGTTTTACATCTTCTAAACCTCCAGTATGCCTGTTTAGAAGGTGGCCTTGAAAAGAGGTCAGTGGTTTGTTTTTTACAGAGAAGTGTGACAAAAGACGCTGTCTAAAGAACAACTTCCCTATTGTCCTGCGCCCTGTTCTGAGTGCATACAACAATGCTCTTCTGATAGGGTAGCATTTAACTTATGTAGGTATGAAACTGCTCAGGGGAAGGCAGGTGTGACTGTAGCATTTACTTGAGCTCTTTTGTGGGCATACAAAAACATTTGTGAGTGTCTTTCCAGTGACAGCATAAGTAACTGGTTGGATTTTGATGTTGCATAATTCTCCTTCATTTGTAGTTTGCTGCCTTATTCAGCACATCCTTTGGTTGCTAAGAAATGTATTGACAACAAAGTGAACCTGGTAACAGCCAGCTACTTAACACCAGCTATGAAAGAACTCCAGGAGAGGTAGGTATGAGACTAGCATCCCCCTGCTGTTGCTTCCTTTTTAATGTAGTATCTGAATATTTTGCAGTCCATTACACCTGCAACACTTACTGTGAATTAGTTTTCTGCATTCTTTCTAATTCTCTTTCTATGGTGGAGGACTAAATACCTTTCCCCACAGCTGCATGTGGAGGTCGTGGCTCAGTGGAGAAATGAGTGCATACCCCAATCTGGTCAGACTAGTACTCGAAACACTGGAACATACTTTTCTGCATGCCCCATCTTATTCCATGTTAATATGCCGCCTTCTCTACCCTCAAACCTGTTAGGATGTTTGAGTTGGGCTGATATTCAAGCTGAGCAAGTGGGCTGTCCTGCTCTACCAGTGACAACAAGCTTGTTTGTCATCCTTCACATTCCCCTAATTAAAACTCATTCGTGGCTTGTTGTATCTATGGTCATACCCTTCTTCATGCCACCTTCTTTTGGACAGGCCCACTGTATTAGACTCAGCTTGATGACAGTTCTGACTATTCTGATGTTTTTGTTGTCCAACTTATTATTATGATTGAAATTTGTTTTGGGCATGGAGCTTCATCTAGGTGCTCCTCTCAGTCACAGCACTAGAAACTGAAGTGAATTCAAGTGAGTGAGATGAGGATTGTGCATGCTGTGTCTCTACAAAAGATAAAAGAGAGAAATCTAGACAGGTAGAGGACCAGTGTTGCAGACAATAAGGGAGATTTAGGGGCCTCTTCTCCCCTTCTTGCTGTGATGCCAAGAGGTCATATCACACTCTCCTAAAAAAAAAAAAAAAAAGTGATTTTGAAAATAAAATAAATCACCTCAGTTTGTGGTGATAAGTGAGCTCCTCTGGGAGTGTAGCAACTGTTAGAAAAAGAAAAACCACATGCTTGTAATTTGGGAAAACAGGCCTTTCAATCTCTCTCCCGCAGGAGCTGTTTAGGGCAATTATGACTAGCTCTGTGCTGTCCTCTGCCTTACTGCCTCCCTCCTTTATAGCACTGTCCAGGAGAATGTGGGATATGGAGTAGCTGGTAGGAATTTCCATCAGCCCCTAGATGTGCAGCAAAGAAAGAGAAACCAAGGCTACAGTGATTCCTATACAATTGTCACTGTCCAGGTTTTAACATCTGCTTCTGATTTTTTCCACAAGCTGCAGACAGAGCCCAGAATTTACGGCATTGGGGAAAGTTTGTTGAATTGTTGAATTCAAGACAGATTTCTTGAATTAAAGGCCACTTAATAGTGAATATTCTGACAGCTCTGAATTTCTGTTATTTTTAGTGTAGAAGCTGCTGGTATTACAGTTATCAGCGAAATGGGTTTGGATCCTGGTCTTGACCATATGTTGGCAATGGAATGTATTGACAAGGCAAAAGAAGTTGGTGCTACGGTAAGGTTGGTAGATAGTGCATAGTTCTGCCAAAATTTTATTAGTAAAACTGTTCCTGTATCATCACCCAGTTTTTGGGCGTGTCACTGACATGCAATGGACTCTGGACACCTTACTTTTTCTGATGTGTGGAATTTGGTGCTGGCTAATCCAATTGGCCATGAGCTAAGATGGCTTTGCCCCACTGTATTTTTTGGTTTCCTCTCCTTTATGGACAGTGCCTGCAGTGTGACAGCTTGACACAGTTGCTCAGTGAAATTCTTTTGGTTTCCTCTGTCCACTGTAGATCTGATTTGGCCCATTTGGGGGGATAACGTCAACAGGAAGTGTAAGAAATAATGGGGATTCTGCAGGGTAGCTCTGTTCTGTTTGCATCCTGGTTTGTCTTCTTTTCATTGTTTCTTTCCTGTGGATAAATCTGACAGGTTGTATCCTACACTTCATTCTGCGGTGGCCTACCGGCTCCAGAGCACTCTGACAATCCTCTGAGATACAAGTTCAGCTGGAGCCCACAAGGAGTGTTGCTGAATACAGTTCAGTCTGCTACGTATTTAAAAAATGGAGAGGTGAAGTAATCCTAACATTTCCATTTAAAGCCAGACAGAGAAGGTGGAATTGAGCTAAGGAGGGAATCGGGGTTTGTAAGGTGCTGTGTTTACTTTCAAGCCAGTGACAATCAGCTGCCTAAGCAAGTTACATACATCATTTAATCCTGTGTTTGGAGTGTGATGGTGCCTGGCTGCTGCCAGCTTAATTCTTACTTACTATGTGGAAACTGATTACAAAGGAGCGTGTTCTAATGACCAAAGCACTGGGTTAAGGTTGATGTTCTGGGTTCAGCTTCCATCCCTGTTGTGTATTGCTTTGGACACTTAATTGCCCTGTCTTTGGCTCTGTGAAACAAAGGTGAGAGTGCACCCTTCTACTTGCTTTTCTGTCTAGTCATGTTTGTAAACCAAACAGCTTCATTCTGTACTTGCACAGTGTGTCTTTTTCTTTTGGTGTGACCTGTCATACCAATAACACACTGAGTGGGTTTTGTGAATATGTACAGTGCTTTCTGATGTGTTTTACAGAAGCTCTGTTTTGCTGTTTGTGCAGGAGTTGTCAGAGTAGACTCAACTTAGCAAATGTCACTGCATCTGTTCTATGGAAAGATCATAACTGATTTGTGCAAAGCTATAGCAAGCCATTACCACATTTCTGCTTTCCAGTCCTATCTGTTTGATCACTCCCACTTGTTCAGAGTAGTTACTGAGCAGGGGCTCTTCAAATGTCAAGGACACTGCCTTGTATAACCACCGTAAAGTTTAGCTAATTATCTAAACTTTTTGGTCTGCAAAACTGAGAAATCTTTTGAGATGTTTTATAATGACATTTTGGTGCTCTAGTGTTCTTATTGCAGTAAGAAAGGAAAAATTCAGGGATGGTACATTGGATCATTATTTAAAAAGCAACAACACAGAAGTTTCAGATGAAAGGGACTCTTGGAGAATGTGAAAATGTTTCTTATTTAATTCTGACCTGATTCACCAATTGCTAGGAAAAATTAGATCATGCATATGAATGATTCATTATGAGAGCACTATACGAGCTTGTCAGTAAATTGTGCAATTTTTCCTCCTTGACACTAAATCCTTAGCTGTCTTTGGTTGTTGTGCAGGATTCTTGCCAGACAAACACAGTAAGATCTTTCAGCTTTGCTGCAGACTTCATTGCTTTAGTCTTTCTTCTAAAAGGAAACCTTGCCTCTTTGCTCAGAAGTCACAAAATGAATTTGTATTGATGCTGCATAGCAGATCTGTGCATCAGCTGCTTGAAGCAAGCAGGGTTCAAGGCTTTGCTTGGGAGTGATAATAGAACTTAGTCAACCTTATTTTGGTTTTGTTCAATGATGTGTTCTCTCTGTGCTTTCTTAGCTGCAAGTAAAGATAATGCGTGGGCAGCGATTTTATAGCAGGGTGATATACCCTGATTTATTTTAATCTTAAAAAAAAAAAAAAGAAGGAAAACTCCATCCTTCTCTCTGGATTTACCTTTTCCTTTCCCGTAAATAAAAGAGAAAAAAAAAATGACCAAAAAGCAGGGAGCCTATGGGCAGAATCTCCCTTCACACAGGTGTAGTTTGGGGAGGTGCTCCAGAATTACACTAATGTAAGTGAAATGAGAACTTGCCACCTTAACGTAAGTGCAGCAGGAACTGACAGTGTGTGTGTGAGAAGAATGTGGCTTGTTTTAGCCCTTTCATTAGTAATGGCTGACCTAGTGCATGCTCCTCCATCACAGGATATGCTTAAATGGCTTGTGCAACTGCTTTAGTTAGTTTGGGCCTTTGTTTGCACCAGAAACACTATGCATATTGTTCCTATTTGAGCACACTTCATTTTTTCTGTTGTAAAATAAATTCAATAGCACTGCACTGAAATAATATTGCTGTTCTTTCACAAAATTTAGATTGTCAATATTCCAGCGGGAGGAGCGTTACTTGATTCTGTTACTCCAATGGATTTTTTCCCAGGATTAAATCTCGAAGGTTTTCCTAACAGAGACAGTACAAAATATGCTGAGCCATATGGTATTCAGACAGCTCACACTTTGTTGAGAGGCACCTTAAGATACAAAGTAAGTTCTTGTTGCTGTTATTATTAATTATTGTTTTCCTCAAGAGGTGAATGTTGCAATTTCAAGAAAACTATGTTTTTAAAAGTCAGTCTTTTATAGCTCTGTACTTGCTATTTATGAGCTCTCCACTATCACAACTGAGAGATAATTGAAAGCACTTTTCTCAATTTTTTTTAAATGTAGCTTTACTTGCTTTATTTAACAGGTGTTTGTTGCAAACCAGAAAAATAGTTTTACTTGTTTTAAGCAGCTGGTCAGTTAGTTTGCATAGTCTGTATCTGTGGGTTGTTTTTTTTTTTTTCTCTGGCTCTGTATTTGGTGTTAGATCAATGGAAGATTTTTTTTTTTTTTTTTAAAGAAGACAGGTTTGTGTGATGTGTGTTACTGTTATGTATTTTTAAGACTTGATCTATTCTCTTCAAGTTGATAGAAATTTGAACTTAGTTTGTTGCTTATATTCCTATGAAAAACATACTGTAAAAATCTTACAGGAAATTATTATTATTTTCTATCAAACTGCGAAAGTTTTTCATTAAGTAACTGGAAATCTTGAATTTGAGCAGCTTTAACATTTTGGTCAGTTAAGTAAAATGTTGAGAGATAAATATTTTTTCCTTATAACTGATAGACTTTTCATTTGTTAGGTGCACAAGGTGCAATCAAAACACAGTATTTTTTCTTTCAGCTTTCTTTTTTTTTAGTTATTTTGTTGGTCAATATACATTAAGAAGGAATAAACCTAAAAAAAAAAAAGCTTTTATGGATGTCATGATATGTATATTGAGTTAAGGTTTAAATTATTGTTGTCTTGGCCATGGCTCAAGGAATGATGCATATGTCTTTTCCCTCTTAATTCCTCTGTTGCAGTACAACATGATTTTTTGTTTGTTTTTGAGAGGGAAGGAGGTTTGCTTAGCAAAAGAAGATGGAAGGCCAGTGTGGGGGAGTAAGGGTTACAAATTGCAATAGCTCTCTTTCTGTCAGTCTAGATACTATCTCTTGTTCAGAAGCTAAAAATATGTGGAAGTCATCTATCTCATCATGAAGTCTTAATATGACAGTATCTACTCTTCCATTTGGTGCTGAGTAAAATTTTCTTCTTTTGTATAAGTGTTAGCAGAAGGAAAAGCATAAATGTCGGGGTGACATGAAGAGTTGTTATCAGTGTGCTGCAAGAATGATGTTTCTGTGGTTACTGCTGTTTTCTTAACCCCCAAAGCAGGTCTGTCAGTTCAGGTTGGGGTGATGTTGGTAAGGTTGCGTGGAAGAGCTTGCCATACCTCTACCTGCATGGTACCTACATGCCAGGACATAGTGCTGAGCAAGGCAGAAGTTGGCCATTAGCACGTGCTGCTGTGTTGCAGAGCAGAAAGAAATCCATTCAGTGTGGAGGAGAACATCTCGGAGTGCCTTTTACAGATTAAATTTAGATAGCTAATGGAGTCAATCTAAAAAGAGGCATCACAGAAGGATCTCACTTCAAGGCCGTCTGAGCTGATAAACTAGTGGAGGTGGTTCTTAATTGTAATTAGCCCTCTTTTAGTTTGCTTTATTTCCACCATTCTGCTTGGTTACAGTGTTTCTAGTCACTCGCATGTGTTTTCAAATATCCAGCAGCTGTCTGGGAGTGTTAACAGGATACAAACAAAAATGAGCAGAAACCAGTTGAGACTTCCTTTATCATGCAGCCTATTGCAGCCTTTGCAGTTCCTTTTAAATACCATTCCACTGCTGTCCTGGTTGTGTCTTTGATATTCCTGAAGGAAAGACACAAACACACAGGATTCTTATCTCTAAAATCAGTTTATCTAATGTCCATGCAATCACACTGGTGTAAAACTGGGAGGAGCTGAGTTCAGCGTTGGGCTGTCTGCATTCAGTAGTTTTGTTTACGGGCCAGCTGGCTGGTACAACCCTCTCTGTAGTGACGTGCTGGAGTTTGAACTAGTGCTGGCTGGTTTAGCCCTCTGATCTCATGAACCAGTGCTACTTGCCATGTAAGTACTGATGACAGAATAGTAAGAAGTCATGAAAAAGAGTATTGAAAAAATAGGGGGAGAGGTGGAGAGGGGCTGGGGAAGGCACCACTCTGTAGCAGTAACCCCGTTGGCATCGTGTTACTGTGGCTGTCTTCCCATGGGAATAACGCTTAACACTGCCATGGTTGTGCCCACCACTGCATTCAAACCAAGGGGATATACACATTTTCAAGTGATTATTATTTTTAACCATGTTATTATTTTATTTCAGGGATACTCTAAAACTATGGGAGGCTTTATAAAACTAGGATTAATTAACCCAGATCCTTATCCTTTGCTAAACTCAACCACGCCACCTCTAACCTGGGTGAGTTACTGTGATTACTCTGCCTTCTTTCCTCTGTTTTATTAATGTCTTTCTTATTGCTAGGCTTGGGTGTGCTTAGCAATGGGAATCTTGTATTGCATCCTGGTTTTCTCTCATTTTTTTGTTCCTGGAAATTAGAAAGATTTTCTTCAGCAGGAATGTAATACATTGCTGGAAGAGATTCCCCAGAGAGACTCTCAAGTCTCCGACGCTGGAGGCTTTCAGGACTCAGCTAGGCAAAGCCATGGCTGACTTGAGTGCTGGTGATACTCCTGTTTCAAGCAGGACATTGGGCTAGATGACCCTCAGAGGTCCCATACAGTATTTTTATGCATTGTCTTAAATTTTCAGTTAATTAGGATCCAGCCCTCAGTACTGTGAGCTTACAGTGTCCATATTGGTAATGGCCCATCATCTGCAATGTAAAAGTATTTTTTAGGGCATCAAGAAGTAAGATATCATGCCTAAATGAGTATATTAAAATCTTTTTTTCTCTTAAAATTCTGTACAAGCATTTTTTTTTGTGTGTCTTCTGTTATCTTGCTTTTCTGTCTTTCTTACTGATGCCTCACTTCATCTTAATTTCAGACAAGGTATGACTCTTATGATGTGCTGCTATTACATTTGACAGTCAAAGTTTTGGTTGTCTCTGTGGGCAAAGCAGGGAGTTTCAGATTTCAATATGGTGTAAAGAGAACTGAATTTACAAACAGCTTACTACTTGTCAGGTCTGTCTGTCTGTCCTGTGAGAATTTTTTTTTCCATTTTGCAAATGCCTGAAAGAGTGACTTTGTTTATTATTCAGATGAACAAAATTCAGATCTGTCCCCTGTTTCCTTCCTTGTGCTTTTATCAGCATTAATCTGGAAAAAGACATGAGGCTTATGCTGTGTGATGATCTGAGGAGAGCACAGTGTTTTTCTGATGATGCCCTTATTTCAAGTTAAGAATATCTCGAGTGTTCTCAAAAGCAAAAAACCACAAGGTGGAGAGGCCCAGTCTTGCTTCCCTCTGACTAACATACAGCACTGCCCATCTTCCAAAACTCGAGTTTTAGGCCTGCCATGTGGCCTGCCAGTGTGTCCATTTCAGTGACTCTCCATAGAATCATAGAACGGTTTGGGTTGGAAGGACCCTTAAAGATCATCTAGTCCCAACCCCCCTGCCATCAGCAGGGACACCTTCCACTAGACCAGGTTGCTCAAAGCCTCATCCAGCCTGGCCTTAAACACTTCCAGGGAGGGGGCATCCACAGCTTCTCTGGACAACCTGTTCCAGTGTCTGACAATCCTCACAGTGAAGAACTTCTTCCTAATATCTAATCTAAACCTACCCTCTTTCAGCTTAAAGCCATTTCCCCTCGTTTTTTCATTAACTGCCCTTGTCAAAAGTCCCTCCCCAGCTTTCTTGTAGGTCCCCTTCAGGTACTGGAAGGCCGCTATAAGATCTCCCCGGAGTCTTCTCTTCTCCAGGCTGAACAGCCCCAACTCTTTCAGCCTGTCCTCATTAAAGAGATGCTCCAGCCCTCTCATTATCCTTGTGGCCCTCCTCTGGACTCAATCCAGAAGGTCCATGTCTTTCTTCTGCTGAGGACTGCAGAGCTGGGCACAGTACACAGGTCTCACAAGAGTGGAGTGGAGGAATCCACCAGCATCATAAATTGGCTAGGAATTACTTTTTTTTTGAGATTATTCTCACTTTTTGTGATTAAAAATCTCAAACTATTTCACTTTCCCTGTACACAAAACCTGTCTTCTGAGAAGTCCTGGATATTAACTGAACTTAGTGGAGCAGTGGGTTCTCAAAACCTTGAGTGAAAATGAGTGGAAACAGATGTCAGGTTGCCAGCAACGTTTTTTCTTTTCTTTTCTTTTAATACAGAAAGAGCTTATGAGCAAACTGCTTGGAATTAAGCCACCTGCTGAGTACCATGTTCTTAAAGAAGCTGTATTTAGCAAACTGGAAAAAGACAAAAGTCAGCTGGAGGCAGTAGAATGGTAAAATGTTCCAGTGATTTTAAAAGGTTGTTTTTGTTTTTGTTTTTTTTTTAAAAAAAAGGGTTTGCAATTCTACCCAAGATGATCCGTGTTGAGACTGTTAAAACTGGTTTACTGGAAATTCCAAAACTGAGGCTAAGCTGTTGACAGACAATGATATAAGTCTGTTTCATTTCTTCTGCCAGGCTTGGTTTATTGGGAGATGAACCAGTTCCAGCAGCAGATTCCATTGTGGGGGCTCTTGCAAAGCACATGGAGATGAAGCTGCCCTTTGGTATGTGAGAAATTCTTCTTGTTCATGGCTTTAAGTGGAACAAGTCAATATCTCTTATCAGCTTTAATTGGATTAGTTTGTTCACCTTTATTAATAAACCTTCCTGTTAGGTTTTTTAATGTCTTGTGATATTCTCCACTCCCCCAATTTATCCTTTTCTTTCCCTGTTACATTTTTAATATTCTGTCCTCCTTAATAGTTCCTATCTTAAGTCACTTCCCTGATATACCTGCTGTGTATGCACAGTGCCTCGCTCTCAGGAACATCATCTTGGTATGACTGAAATACAAGTAATGAACAGTTTGTGTGCTTTTCTCTTAGGCACTGGGGAGAGGGATATGATTGTTATGAGAAATGAAATAGGTCTCAGACATCCTTCTGGTCATTTGGAAGACAAATTTATCGATCTGGTTGTCTATGGTGATAACAAAGGATATTCTGCAATGGCTAAAACAGTAGGATACCCCACAGCTATTGCTGCTAAGATGGTTCTAGATGGTAAGTAAGTGGCTGTTCAGACTTTAGTAACAGTATTTCAACCCTCTGTATCTTTCTGCCTGTAGAAAGCAGATGTATAGTGTTTCTGAAGTGTATATATGTATATTTCTAAACTTAACAAACTTTTCCTCTCTGCTTTATAGGAATTTTCAATCTGCATGTTTGGATGTTTCAGTGACAACTCTTTATTTACTACTTAATCTATAGAGATTTTTAGTCGTTTAATCTTAACTGTTTCGCTGGTGTAGAGGTGACCTTTAGCACAGTACATTACAACTGATTATGCCACAGTGAAGCAGGCTAACATATACCTGTGCTGAACAAACTAACAACTTCCACTACTGCTTCCTGGGTTGAAGATGAGGCTTGTGGGATAATACCTGATCATGTTTGGTATATATAAACAGGCAGACTCTGCCTAGTCAAAGGAAATAGTGTGATTCCCCCTTGCTTGCTCTTAATCTTTAGAAATTAATTCTTCTCCTGGCTAACTGAAATGAGTAAAAACTGTGGGGTTGGTCTTTTTTGTTGTTGCTGTTTTAAAAAAACCCAACAACCCAGACTTTTGGAGTTTAGATGCTTTCGCCTAACCAGTTTCACAGCTCTATGAATGAAATTCAAGCTGTGTATGCTACTATGTGTTTCAAACTTTTTTTCTTTTTCTTTGATATAGTGCTGATACTGTGTGAGTATGTAATGCTAGGGTTGATAAATCTGCGTATATGTACATGTAAAAAAATATAAAAATGAAAATTTATATAATTGCAAACTGATATTTGCATTTGTGGTAGGTTGACCTTGGCTGGCTGCCAGATGCCCACTCAGCTGCTCTCTCACTCCTCCTCCTCAACAGGACAAGGGGACAAAACAAGATGAAAAAGCTCATGAAAAAGTTGAGATAAAGACAGGGGTATCACTTACCAGTTACTGTCATGGGCAAAACAGACTCAACTTGCAGAAAAATTAATGTAATTTATTGCCAATTAAAATAGGTTTGGATAGTGTGAAAAAAGACAAATTACCAAAGCCTTGCTGAGTACACCCAGTACTTCACACTTTTTTCCCCTACCTTTATTTTAGGTGAAATAGATGCCAAAGGCATGGTTATACCATTGACGAAGAACGTTTACGGACCAATACTTGAACGTGTTCGGGCAGAAGGCATTGTGTACAGTACTCACAGTGTTATCAAACAGTAACTGGAAGCAGTGGATTGAATCGGGTTTTGGCTTTGTTTGATCCCACCCCACCTTTAAGAATCTCAATTTGGACCAGCTAAAGGCAGCACCTGCTGTATAAATCCAGTCACCTGGATTCCATAAATCCAGTCACCTGACTTTGGTGTAGAAACTGTAGATACCCAGATGCATGAATTGTCATATTTTCCTCTCAAAACTGTTACGTTTTCATGTACATGTTTCAGCATCAGTCAGATCTTACCTTATATTTTTCCTAAATTATCTTGGGAGGGTTTTTGGTTTTTATTTTTGATTAAGAGAGTTTATCTTCCAAGTGTTTAGGGTTATTATGGAGACAAATTGAAGTTGAAAGAAAAAATCTGTTAGTGGATTTTTTCATGGTGGAAAAGTCTGGTTAATGAATTCCATTGATTAAGTTTGATAGTTCATATGGTAAAAATAATTTATCCGAATAACAGAGATGAAAGTGATACTTAACTTTTAAGTGTTGTTGTCCCTTTCCCTTTAACAGTATTTGTGAATATTTTCACAATAACAATATGCAAGAAATAGTTTAGAAATTCTGTACTACTAGCAAGTAAGATCCTGTTAAATCTTGAAAATGTTCAGTTGTTAAATATTTGAAGCCTACATCTTGATTTTTTAAAATCCTGTAGGAATGTAAAAAATTAATTGGAGGAGGGAGGAAGTTTAAAGCAAGCCTCCCTCCATATTCTTTCCCATTACAGAGTGGAAGCTGGTTGCAATATGTTGAAATAGCTGCTGTTACTTGTTGCCTTGTGCTGCAAGAGAGCACACTAGTGCTCTGCAGCTGGGAAGGGCATTCTGAAATACAACACAGATAATGTGCTTAGAAGCTGCCCCAAATGGCACGTTTACTCTTTCCACTTACACTCTGTTCCTTGTCCAGGTTAAGTAGTACCATTTCAAAGGGAATAGACTATGTAGTACAAGCAGCTTTGAAATGCAGTAGGCTTAGAGGTTTAAATCACAACTTTTTGAGTTAGCTCCTGTCCTTTTGCTACAAAGCTTTTGAAGCTTTCATTTGGGAGCCTATCGGTACTACTCAGCACAGCGCCACTTCAGACTGATGAGAGTTTGCCAGTGTGCCAGCTCTTTGATGCCAAGTGCTGTGCTGCACAGACATGCCAGCCCAGCCTAGCAGCAGCGTAAGCCACATCAGCCCAGAAATGAACTTTAGCCTGAGTGCAGCTTCTCTCTGACAAGACAGCAGTTGCCTCCTTCCATTTCAGGGCTGCTTCTGGGGCTTTTGCTCAGGGATTTCTACACCACCTTGCAATGCAGGCATGGCTTAGATTTCACCAGTTAGGTCTGTGAGGCGTAATGCTGTGAGCAGATGTCATTTGCACTGGTACCTGTGCAACTACCTGGAGCTCCTGTTTTATAAAACTCAATACTGATGCTGAAAGCTGCCTGCTTTCAACTTAGCTCACAAGTGCACTTTGCTGATAAACGCACAGCCTTTTACCTCCTGAGAAGCACAGTCCTATTGTCATGGTTCCAAGGGCCTGGAATTCCAGGTGTTGCTCTGCCCAGTAGGAAAAGCAGCCATAACAATAGCTGAAATTTTGATCTCCAAGTCTTGCTACTCAGGATTTGGATTTTCTTTGTGTAGATGTAATGAAGTAGCAACTACAACAAAGAGGAGAGTGAAAGGAGCCAAATGGATAAAGAATGAAGGGCAGAGTATTACTGTCAAAGAGGGCTTTTTATACTGAACCACTGAATGCTTTTGTACTGTCAAATTTGGATTCTGTTACAGTGCCATGCATGTCCTGAGTATCGAATGAAATCCTGGCTTCACTAAGTTGCTTCACATCCCACTGACCTTTACAGGCTGTTGTTGGTCTGTTGTGTGGCTGGTACGTGCAGCTTGGGTAAGGATGGAACCTACAACCAAGGGTTAAAATTAGACTTGTATCTGCTCATCCCTTCCAGTCCAGTGCTTGGTGGACCAGAATTTCACTCAAGAATTCTCTGTTGCCTCCTTTACAAATACACAACCATGGAGTTGTGACTCTATATATGCATGCACCTTGTGCCTAGGAAATGCAGTATGCAAAGAAAATTTGAATTTTTTACAAGCATGGAATCTCTTTAGAGCACTAAAAGAATGAGCACTACAGAGTGTTTTCTTCAAGAAACTATTTTTGAAACATTTTGTATCAGAATATAATTGTTTCTCAGTGCAATGCTGCTTTTTGTTTTCTAAATTTAGACTTCTGTGAATTTATTGCTCAGCTTTTTGTATGAAGATTAGACTTCTAAGTTCTCTTTGCTATTATTGGAATCATAATTGTACCTTATACAAAGATTGCTTGAAAAATAAATCTGAAATCCTATGTTTTGTTGTCATGTCATCTTAACAGTCTAATGAGATGTATATGAATGGGATTGTTTTTTTCTAAAAAACCCAAAAAATTTGGTTTTTTACATAGATGGTTATATTGAAAGGGTGTCTACACATGGACTTCTCTATGTAGGTGAAATACCTTTCCATACTTCTTGCTAGACTCACAAGACAAGACTCTTTCAAAGATTGTTTAAGCATCCACATCTAACGCTCATCTATGTATACATATATATATATATGCATCTGTATCTAGACATCTTCTTCAACTGTAATCTTAAGAGAGGCAATTTTTTTAGCACGTTTTCTTTGAGCACAAGGACAACTACTTAAGTTGAAAGCTACAGAACGGTAGATGTATAACATCTCCCTGTGCCCCAAAGAAATGAAAACTTGGTGTCTCGCTGCCGATCTCAGCTTGAGTGCCTTGCTCAGCTGAATATGTGGTTTGGTTTCTGCTATCACTGCCTGGGCTGAAAGGCTCTTAAGCTGTTTGTTCACATCAGGCTGCCAGGAACAGATTGTTTGTCACTATGTCTCTCTTATTTTTTCATTTTGGAGTTTATTCTAGTGCTAGCTCTCCATAACAGATAAGATCCCAGTTTCTTTCTGAGATGGAGGTGCTCGAGCCTCATTACATTCGGACTGCCTTCCTTGCCTCAGTGTTTCACACTCTCTCAGGCCTGGATATTCCTACAGACAAGAAGTGCATCCCTTTCAGGGACTGGAGCACAAAAGTGTGGCTGCCAGACAAAAGATGTAAGCTTATAGCACAATAACTATTTAAGGGGGGAAAATCTGGGGTACAGTGGTTGTGATTAGGCTGGAAAACTAACAAGAGGAGGGGGAGAAAAAAGCTCTGAGTGTCCAGCAGAATTAAGGCAAATCAGACCATCTCAAATACGCTCTGACTAAATTACAGTCTACAGGTTGCGACTTCCCTGAAATAAGGAAATTGATTCTGTATGCCAGAAGGGGCTTTTTTCCCCCCTCACTTTTTTTGTCTCTGAAAGGAAAAAATGCAATTTGGAAACCGAGGGGAATCAGAGGTAACATGGCCAAGTGTCCTGAGAGAGACTTCTCTTCCCTCTTGTCCCTTTGCAAGTCCCTAATCCACGAAAGCACAAATCTGTGAAACAGAAATGGATATTCAGCCCTTTGCCTTGCTGCAGGGAAACAGTGAAAAATCAAGGCTGTAACCTAGGACACCTCAGACTTACGGTAGTAGTTGGGTCTCTCTGTTTTTAACCCCAACAAGACAATATTGCTCCTTTCCTCCCCAGCCCTGCGTTGCTCATGCTTCAGAACGATTAGAGAGAGAAACAAGTTTAACTTTGCTAGACTCATCTTGAAGTAATCATTTACCAATGAAAACTTCAACCCATCTGAAATTCTGCATCATTTTAGGAGGTCATGATGAACTGTGCCAGGTAAAGCATTGTGATAAAACACTGCTAACTAGCTTAGTCAACTGATTTCCAAAGTCTGTATCAAGGTCTTTAACTAGTACGCTGTTGTACTGATAGCTATGAGTTTGTATGACTTCTATTCACCATTTATGGCCAACTTTTGCAAAGCTTTTCCACAGGTATTAAATCTCAACACCACAATCACTAAAAAGTTGGTGATGTTAGTAAATTACTTAAGTTTTCTTGTTTTTTAGCTCTCTGCTAATGTATGATTTCTTAGGAGGAAGCTCACTAATCAAGTTTTCCTTGGCACACATGACTTACAGCTTTGTAAAAAAAAGCAGAAAAAAAAAAATCTTAAACTGATGTTTATTAATATTGTACTTCTTGCAAGAGATACATAACATCTTTTCCACACTTGACCCAGTTTGAAAAGGCAGGCTACATGTTTTTTGAGTCTGTAGCTTGGATTACAAGAAAAAAATTAATTAGAATATGGCCTTTGTCTGAGAAAGGAACTGACACGCATTTATTAAAATCTGTAATCCATCATGGTTGAAGATTATAGAAGATTTTTTTTTATGATTCTTATTTTTTTCTAGATCAGAACCAGTATGTGTGAGTAAAGAGATTATCCTAAGCACTTATGTTTTAAATAACTTGTCAGCATGCTAAGATGATGAATGTGATTACAAACATCTCTGGAAGAAATCTTGAACAACAGCTGATTCCTTGGATTATAATTTTAAAATGTCTGCAAAACATTTAGGTTGAAAGGAGCAGTTATATCAAGATGGGATTTTAGAAAGGAGGATTCCTTTTTTACTTTTGGTCCATAGAGACTAGAAAAACATAGTAAAATTAATTGGCCTGAAAAAGACTTTCTATATATAGCTATATGAAACTGTAAACACATTAATAGAAGATAACAAAATAAAAAGCATGAAGTTATGTGAACCTACAAGCCACTTTTCCTAAAGGACAGGGTGAGAAGTAGCACATGAGCATTATAGTTTCTCTTGTGTGCCAACGTGGTGAAGTGCAGAAGTATAAGCTAAGAAGTTTATGGAATATGGTTTGCAAATGGCCATAACATCACAATTAACCTCTCTCATATGAGCACCCATGGAGATTAAAAAAGGAAAAACTGGTTCTATATTTTTAGAATGAGAAGGGGGGAAATACATAATATAGCCGACCTTGTTAGCCTAGATGTGGAAATGGAGGGTGTTGGTAAACCTGAGTGCTTTAGAGGAGGTGGTAAGGAACCCGTAGGCCACCTGGAAAAAGATGATGCTCCCTTCCTCAAAGAGAAACCATGACACACCTTTGTGTACACCAACTTTGTGCCTAAAAGCTGTGAAGAATGTGTAACTCAATGGTTACAAAAATTTGTATCCTTTGGGACAACAAGCCCGTTCTGTATATTTGTAACTCTTGACACCTACAAAATAACAAAAAAACCCCCCCAAAAAATCATCTAGATCCTATTCTTCAGATGCATTTAACTTGGCTGGGGATACATTATAAGTTTGCTTGCACGTAGAAGTTGTATCTCAGTCCTCTTCTTCCTGGGCTTCAGAATTAGCAAATATGCAGGTATGTCAAGGACCACAGGAATAAAAAAAAGTGTAAAACATGAATAAAGATGTCTTGGCTCAGAAAAGTAGGTTCCCTCACTTCTGAATTATTCAATCAACTAGTTACAGCTGTGAACTAAAGAGGTGAATATTAGTACCTGCAGGCACACAGCTGGCACCCCTGGCCTGAGGTTGAGCTACCTGCACAGATCCTGAGAAACTGCTGGGGAGGAGAGGGGAGACTGCTGATGAGAGCACGAGTGAGAAGCTGATGGGTGTTTGGAAAAGTGCCATGAAGTCTGGCCACATTTCACAGGTGTTTCATGGGGAGCTGTGTGAAGGAAGGCCAAACTCTGGTGGAGACCTTTTGGAAAGAAAAGCTTGCAGGGCCAGAAGTACCAAGGTAACGGTGTTGCTAATACCATGTATGGCTGAGATGATCTAAGTGTCAGCATCAGAGGTTTCACATGTGAGTATGGCTGTAACAAAACTGAGGCCCGTGAAAAAGGGTAATTAGGTTGTTTAGCTGCAAAGAGATAGAGACACCAGGGTGGAGAAGCGGAGGGATCAAGGTGGATAGGAAAAGAATAAGCAGGGGAAAATGGAGAGAAGAGGGGTAAAAGGGTGTGTGTAAGCAGGCTGCTGGGCAGTACCCTTGCCTGTTCGTGCCCTGTGCCTGATCACTGACCTCTGTCCTGCCGCCTTTTTAAATCTTCTTCCTATTTTTCATGTAATTAATCCTCTGTGTGTGTGTGTGTGTCTCCCTGTGTGGAACATGTACCCTGCTTGGTCCCTGGCCAGACCTGCAAAGGGGTCTTGGGCTGAGACAGGCAAATTGTCCTACATTTGGCTCTGATGGACCCCTGGGGCTCCAAGCCCAATGGATTCAGCTACTCCATAACCCCTAGGACTGCACTGCTGTGGTTATAAAGAGAAGTGGTCAAGTGTCAAAGAGAATTCAAGTGCATTAACATGTTAACACAGTTTTACAAGACAAACTATACATTAGAGCATTTTTATTGTTTTCTCTATATGATTTTATTTTTTAAACAAAGAAGATAAGAGTAGGAAAAAGTCTGCTTTCCTGCTAGCTGTTCTATCATTCTGTGCCATTCTGTCTCCTGGTCTAGCATCTTCATGCTCATTTCGTGTATCAACAGTATGAGGATTTTTTTAACATTTCCATTGTTTAGATTCCTCTAAACCTAAATCTGTTTTGGCTCTGTTGCAACTCTACTTATCCTCAACCCCACACTGCTGAAGGGGGCCTAGGTCCATCTGCTCACACACTGAGATCTCTCACACAGCCTTGCCTCAGGACATCAGTCAACTAAAATCTCCAAGTCCACATCAGATTTGTCTTCTCCCATCCTTATTTTTCATTGACATTACTGTCCCTCAGTTACTGCAGCATTCTGCTTCAGAACTGTTCTGCTCTCAATATTTCTACGTAGCAACTGAATGTACCAAAGTGAGAACAGTTACTCTCATGGCTTGTGTTAGTTTTAAACAAAGACCTATTCTTCTCCAGGCTCCTCCACCCTGCTCAGTGCTGCAACCTTCAGTACAACCAGTATCATTTCTTGCCAGTTCAGAAGGTTACAGAAAATGGTTTGAGTGGCCAAGATTAAATATTTAGCTTTTGTTCTTGCAGAGATTACTCTATTGCTTCCCAGAGTTTGGCTTTAGCTTTGCCAAAGGAGGAAGCAAAGAGCTCAGTAGATGAATGAATGATCTGAAGCAAAGCCAGCATGGAAAAGTCTTTTGAGGGGACAATTGAGGCAATTTGAAGGCCTTGGTCAGCCTGTGGGGGACCAGACCGGGAGATGTGCAAGGAGAGATTAGAACAGGAGCTAATGTGGACACTGTGAGTATGGATGGAAGCGGAGCAGAGATTAAATAACAAAGCATGAAGTTTTCTAAAACTTGCAGTTTCCACAGGAAGAGCAGCCAACTCCAAGTCAGCCTTCCGTCCTTATTCTTGTAAGTAAGAGCTCCCCCATATGACCGTGAAGACTGTTTACTGTATGTGGTAGACTGCTAAGCACAAACTGGAATATTTATATTTATTTTTGCAATGCCATAGGTAAAAACAATTTAACAATGCCAAGTACAGGTGTTATTCTCATAAAAACTTCTCATTTCAAAACAAATTATTTCTATTATTTCCCACAAAAAGTTGAAATCACATGCAGCTATACGAAGGTTAATTGTTTAAGATGCATAATTATATATCAGAAGACTTTGTTAAAATAAAAACCTACTGGACTACATAATTTTAACAAGGCAATTACACAGAACTAGAAAACTGACTCTGTAGTAAAATATAAAAATCTACAATTATAAATATAAATTTGGTCCATGGATCACTACAGAAGTAGCAGTATTTACAATAAGTATCAGATTTCTATTCTAAATATCTAACTGAAGTCTTAAAATGTTGAATGTTATGGAGAACAGTATTTTATTTACATTCTACTATATTAAAAGTTTTATTTCTAGCAAATGTAAATTGTTATAAATACAGCAAATAAATCAAATACTAAACCCATGACATATTTGTAACTGAGAATCCTCTAACATCTATAAATATGATAAGTTAAAAGTAAAGCCAGATAAATCAAAAACTAATACTGAAAAAACATACCACAATTCAATTCTTAGAAACACTGTAAAAGTCAATCAAGTTAGTCCAGACATAACAACATATTACAAGAAATCTTTCAAGAAAAGGCACACATTGTTAATGATAAAAAATCCGCAGTAAAGTCATACATAACAGAAATGACTGCTTGTTTGAGCAACGGTTGGGATCTCATTATATATAGAGTGACTGGACAGATTTTCCCCCCCACAAAGTATAAAACTGAAAATAATAATGGTAAACTCCAGATGTGACCATTGTGATGTAGGTGTGTGTGTGTGTGTTTAATTTTATGAGTTAATTAAACTAAAGATTCTAAACTTTCAGCTGCATTTCCGTCATGTAAAGCTGAGCCGTTACTGTCCATAGAGGCTGAAGGGTTTTCTTCTTGCCTTGTGCTGACAAGGCTGAGAATAGCTTTGTACAGAAACTGGTACTGTTCCTGGAGAGGAAAAGAGGATATAGTCAGTGTGTTGTCTGAAATAATAACACTAGATTTTCTTGTAACACTGTTACTCAATATTAATTAACAGCTGATGTGTCAGTCTGTTAATGTACTGTGCTCCACAATTTATTGTGTTACTTAGCAGCTTTATTAATTTTCTGGCTAGTGGTAAAAATGTACACAATGTAAAGCACAACATTAATGGACACAGTACAGGTAGGGGAGAAAACTGTATTTTAAAAGAAATGTTATGTGCTGAATCGGATCCTTGTTAAAGTCAATTGAAAAGTTCAGATTGACTGAATGGCGTTGGGATCAGGGCTGCTATTTGTCTGCAGGCTTTTTTTTCCCCTTGAATATGTTCTTATTTTCACCCACTGAATTCTATCAGGGCAGATTTGTGTGGTATTTTTTGTTTGGTGGGGCTTTTTGGGGGTTTGTTTTCTATTTGCAGTTACTGTTTATGTTTTTGAAAACCCTGCCAAGTGTAGGAAGAGAGACAAGACTGCACTGCCTCAGGTAACAGTGGATGTTCTGAAAGGGCAGAGGAATATTTTGGGTTCTAGGATGGATATAGGAGGATAAAGAATTTCTGTGATGGAAGGAGTGGGGAACAGTAAAACAGAATAAACAGAATGGGGTTTGGGGTTTGGCCTATTAGGTTGGACTAAAAGATATGGGGTAGAAATGGTAACAATTCTGAAAATCTGCAGTAAGATGATGGGAAACTGGAAATCTGAGATAAAGAGCCCAGGTTTTTGCTGGAGGCTTCTGGGGCAAGAGAAGTGAAGGTCCTGATGGTGCTGCTGAGGTGGGAAGATTTCCCATTTTCACTCCATTGTCTCCCAGGCACCTAAGTCTGCGCTGGCTGGGTAGGGCAAGGGGCGGCCACATCTGTCAATCCTGTGTCACGTCCTATTTTTGCTGTCAAAAATGTGATGATGCTAACCCTAACATTTCACTCTTGAAGTATTCTCCCTATGTTCTCCTCTCTCCTATATACATCCACTGTAGCTCCACCGCGGTCAGACTTGTAGTGGTGTGACCAAAGGGGCAGGGTTTGTATAATTTCTGTGATGAATTTTCACTGACTTAGTAAGTAATTCTTATTTGTTATACTTTTCATGTTTTTTCTTTCTGTAAGCACAGTGACAATGGTGTTGAGTGACCATTCACCAGATCAAGAAAGATCAAAGTCCTTCCTGAAATGGAAAACTAGGGTAACTACTTCAGGGTCTACTTGGAGTACAAATTTATTCC